AATTATTTTTATTAAATCAAAAATAAAGAAGCTATTATTGTAACATCGTTTATTGTATATAAATAAAAAATAGTTTACATTAAGTCTATTGTATTTATATATATATATGCGCTGACAACTTAATTTAGTTATGTTTGTTTGAACTCTTGAGTAGTTATAGGAAAGAAAGTGATGTAGCTATTAGTATCCGAGGTCGAAGAAACTCGTATTCCTTATACTCGCGGCGTAATAAACTTCACATCAGAAACGGTTTACAATACAATGGAATCAAAGGCACTTATAGATATATATGAATGTATGCAAAACAACGATGAGAATCGTTCGCTTTCAAAGAAACACTTAATTAAAGAGTTTATTGACCAATATGGCTTTATCAGAACTCCTTTTGGCGGCACTCTTTCACATTGTGTAAACGCAAGTAAGTAAACATAATATTTTTAATTTTTAATTTAGAACAAAACAGTATTTTACACTAATCTGATTATTTTTGATTATTTTAGATGGTCTAAACCCAACTGAGAACCTGCCGCGATGTGTAGATCCAGAGTGTTATACAACATTTAGTGGATTCTTTGATTCTATTTTAAAAGATTGCCACAAAGTACTTTAAAATCAAATAATTATTCGTAATTTTAAATGTCCTTTGGCTTAAATAGTTTGTAAGAATTTTTCAGTACTAATCAAAATTTGATAGTTTAATCGTAAATTTTGAATAGAATAGAAATTAAAATATTATTAATTTATATTGCTTATCTTGTAAAAGCGATTTTATATCTATAAGCACATAATTATTGGCAAACTATTCAGGTACCAAAGATTTATACTTAATTGAAATAATTTCCCTCGGAACTTTGAATTCCTGGCTTTGATAATATATCAGACAGACAAGATTATAAAGAATCAATGTTTAATAATTATAAATTTATTTTATTTTGACTGGCATTTAGATTTGGTGTAATAATACATAGTAATATTAATGAGTTTATCAGATGGTTTAAGAGGAATTATATTGTCGAAATATATATAGCAAATATAGACTATGACTAAATACTTGATATCTAATATGGAATAAATGCAACGTTGCAACTCTATCCTTTTAATTGTTATTATTTTGATTGAAAATCCTATTGATAGATTTCAGCTTATATTAATTTATTTGGTTTTACCAAGCAAAACCAACAACAAAATTTTATTTATAGTCCCTTAACATTATTCTTAGACATTTAGGAGAAATCTAACGTTAAATTTTACTTTTAAGATAAATATATTTTCTGCTATTTATTTGGCCAAAAAGCTTTTGTTTTATTCCACATTTAGTAATAAAAGAGGTATCATGCCCAGCATATTTAGCTATAATGGTTCCAACTTAAATTTGCATGGTCATTTAACTATCTTCAAAATTTTGTATTAAAAATCTTTGAAAATCTTGGAGTTTTGAACTATATTGAATAAACGAATTATTATAAAGTTTTTACTATCTTAATTGCGATTTTTGGCTTTTAGTTTGCTGTCAAGAAAATAAGCCATCCCAAAGCAAACTTCGGCAATGCATCTAAGCTTGGATTTAGTGACTTAAATCGAGGTTGTCAGATCATACTTTCGACAAAAGTTCAATTAAAAAGAAATATATATGGGTTTCCATTTGTTCCGCTTCTTTCAAAAGATGATAAGCTCCATCTTGAAAGGCAGGTGAGCTGGATATGCCATAGGCAGATTAATGATTATATTCCTACATACATATTTTATTGTACTTTTTTTCTCCTGAGTGATTTATTAAATTTTTTGGCTGCAACGATTTAGCTAACAGAGGGTGTCAAGAAATTTGCAGAAGAGTACGA